TTTAAATTCTGGGTTTGGTATAACCACTAAAGACTGCACATTTGGGGGGCTGTTCTCTGCATGCACTTAAGCAAGAATGGACATAGTATGAAGAAGATGTGAGGGTTGGAGACTTAGGGTTGTTTCTTGGTTTTCTTACTTCCTAGCTCCTGAGACCTTAGGCAACTTACCCAGCCACTCATTGTCTTAGTTTTGTTATCTGCAAACTTTGTAGAACTTACATTTGTTAAATCAGATACAGTGTAAGAGAAAACAGTGCCTTGCATATAAGAGCACAAGAGTATTGGTTGTTACTAACATGCAACTCTACACTTTGTTCAGTGAGCGATGTTCTTACAACCTAATTCAAATTATGTAAGAGTAATTAATAACTTAGTAATAAAAATTAAGATATGCTGAAACGTAATTAAATAGTACTGGGAAAGCTATGTGATTTGTGGTATTTTAAATATGTTCTAATATCTAATTTTTCTCTATTGGGAATGCATTTTTATAATAGAAAAGAACGTAACATAGGTTATTAAGTGATTTTTGTTAAAGTATTCCTCCCTCTTTTCCTGTTGTAGACAGAGAGTGCATGGGCTGAAGAATATGCCGAGAAGAAGAAAGGGTCTCACAAGCGTTCTGCATCCTGGGGCAGCACAGATCAACTTAAGGAGGTCAGGAAAATGTTCCCAAGGATTGGAAATTGGACTAGTTCTTAGAAATTGTGGGCAGCAAAAATTGTTGTTTTCTGTTGATTTATTTTTTGTTTTGTTTTGACTTTCAAAAGAACAGAAAAAGTTACGTGTTAATTTGATGAAGATTTGAATGGGGAAATGTACACATTTCTTACTTGACTATGTCATGAGTTTTATCCTCCGCCTATCTTTTCTTTTTTCTTTTTTTTTTGGTACTTGGGATCCAGGAATCGAACTTGGAACCTTCCCGCTTACAAAGCAGGCAGTGGAACCACTGAGCTAAATACCCCCACCATCAAATCCATACTTGTCAATACAATTGGAATTTTAAAATTGTGGTAATAAAACAGATTAACATTTATTATTTTTCTGTATGTGATGTTTCTGAAATTTGGTAATTCATTATAACCAAATTGGTTATGGGTCTATGCTTTGATTACCACTTTTTGTCCCTATAATTAATGATACTTGCATTTTACATGTAATGTAAGAGACATTCAGTCAAGGTGACATTGAATACTTAAATCTTAAATAAAAGTTGACTTATAGTAAGGGCAGTGTTAAATTTTAAATATTTCTGAAAGCTTACTCTTAAGTCCTGAAAACATTTGTTTGGTAGTTGGGAAACTTGACTGAAAACA